CTGAGAGCAACACCAGGAGAATTACTCCATAACTTAGAGGCCAGCCGGGTATTCTAGGGGAAAGGACAATTCAGATAGAAAGGGGAACACCAAGTGGAGGGTGTTTGGAGGATCCTCCCAGGAGGGGAGATGCAGGTTGAAAGTAGACTGGACTGAACATGTTAGCCACTCAATGCCTCTTTTGCTGATCACAACACCCAAAAGGAGAGAGAGAACAAAAGGGAATGCCCTGCCACAGTGGCAGGGGGGATGGGGAGATAGGGGGATGGAGGGGAGGGATATTATCCTGGTGGTGGAAAATGGGCACTGGTGGAGGGATGGGTATTTGATCGTGGTATGACCGAGATCCAAGCACAAAAATTTGTAAATCTACAACTGTACCTCATGGTGTTTCACTAATAAAAAAAAAAATCTTCAGAGAACCTTTAGGACTGAATGCTATGGTGAAGAATTAAGGAAGAGAAGCACTTGGGGAGAAAAAAAGAGGAAAGAGGTAAAGCTAAGGAAAGATTTTTAACTGCCGAGAACCAGATCCTGATGGTCTCGCAGCCTCTGTCTTTAGTGAGGGGAATTTGACTCCTGCCTAGGAAAACAAAACAAAAAATAAACAGGTATGTCACATAACCTCAGAAAGCCGTTGCACTCCAGAAGAAAAGAAGAAATGATCATTAAGACAAAAAGACATCTTGCTGAATGGGAGAAATCTTCTTGGCACCATATATCTGATAGAGGTTTAATAGCCAAGATAGGTTTTTGCTTTGTTTTTTTGTTTTGTTTTGTTTTGTTTTTGTTTTGGGGCCTTACCTGGTGGTGCTTAGGGCTGTATCTTTGCTCTGTGCTCAGTGATCACTCCTGCTGGTGGTGAGGACCATATGCACTGTCAAGGGTCAACCCAGAGTTCTCTGGTCTTTTGCAAAGCAATCACCTTGTACCTTTAGTGCACCATCTCTCTAGCCTGAAAGATAAGCTCTGCTCTGTACTACACATATGGAACTGGCAAGTATTATGCTAAGTGAAGTAATTCAGTAGGAGAAAGATAAGCAATGTCACTCATATGTGAGACATAAAGGAACAAAATGAGGAAATGGACAGTATTCAATGAGAACAAACCTTAAATTCCAACCACAGATTTGGAATGGGGGCAGGCATGGATTGAGAGAATTCAGTGACTTGTGTGTGGGGGGGAGGATTGCCTTTTGTTGGTGGACATGATGTACTGTCTTGCTGGCCCCTAGTTTTTTTGTTTGTTTTTAACAGTTTTATTTCTTTGCTTAGAGTCTCTGTGCATTTTTATCTGGATAGCATGTATATTAATAGGGAAATCTTTGAACATATTTTTCTTGAAGTTTAAGGACATATTTCCAGTAAGTGCTTCAGTTGATCTGTTAAATCTCACATCTGGGCCATGTTACAGTTTCTGTTGACTATTTTCTCATTTGTATGCCAGATATTGTGGATTCTGTGTAACAGAGATGTGAATTCTTTCCCTTCATCTGAGAGATGTTGATTTCCTTTCTGTCACCTTGAACTTGTTTTGGTTTGATTTTATGTCTTGTGACTAGGTCTGGAGAGAACTGAAGGTATTTTCTAAGCCGATCAGCTCCCTACCTTGGCCCCTTTTCTGTTTTCGTTAGGATTTATTTTAGGTTTAGTCAGAACAGATAAAGAAGCTCACAGAGGTGGCCCTTAGACCTTGGCCTCTCTTGAAGAGCTCAGGTAGATCCCCAAGGTGTTAATGAGGTATGTGGTTCACTGCTGTGACTTGGCTGGACCTCCAGGGTTCTATTGCTCAACATCATAGTCTGACTCTTAATTCTTTTACTTCTAATTCTTGAGCCATCATCTGGGAAGCATCCTCTTGCCCATGCGTGTGTGACCCAAACCTTAGCCAGAAATTTTCGAAGAACTTATATACTGGTGTCTCTCCTCTGCAGTTTTCTTTTCTCCGGGGCTTTGCTTGACAAATTCCAACTATTTAAACATATTTCAACTTCTGTACTGTACAGAGGTTAAGGCACTTCCCTTGATGGCAGCACCAGGCACCTGAGCACAACTGGAGACCTTCGAACACAGTGCCCTCAGCAACACTGGTTGTGTACCCGAACCCAGAAAACGGATTTCATTTTCGTAGCTCAGTGGACTGAGTTGTGCTGCAGCAGTTTTCTGTGTTTGGAGTATTCACTCTTCAATCTGACCCTCCCTTAGCTTGAACTTAAACTGCCCTTAATACAATAAAAAAATAAATGTAGTTGTGGGTGATAGTGGGGAAACCTCAAGTGTTGCTCTTTTCACAAGAATTGGTCTTCTGTCTGTTGTTTAATACCAATAAAAGTTCCCTGATATATTTTGTCATTCTTAAGATAGTTTATAGCAGAATGACTGCTTAAATAACATTATATTGTCATATCCTGCAGTCTAATTTCAAAGTCTAGTCAGTTTGAAAAGGAAGCATATTTTTTAGGATAGACAAGTATTGCTATCTTTTTATTTTGTTTCAGGATATATCCATCGCAACTTGGGGGCTACTGCTGGTGAATGTCTAGGGGGTCACTCCTGGCAGTGCTCAAAACCATGCAGTGCTAGTGATTGAACCTAGGGCTTCTGCATGTGACACAGTACTTTAGTACTTTCAACTGTCTCATCAGTCCCTTGAAAAATACGACATTTTTAAGTGATTATTTAAAAAATTTGTCCAATCTATTATTTGTTACTGGCCTGAGAGATAATACAGAGGTAAAGGTGTTTGCCTTCTATGTCGTTGATCAAGATTCTAGCCCCAGCCCTGCTTATGGTTCTCCCAAGCACTGCCAGGAGTGACCTCTGAGCACAGAGTTAGGAGTAACCCTTGCATCCTGTCAGGTGTGACCCCAAAACCCCCAAAAAATACATGGGGAGAAACCAGCTATTTATCACCTTAGTCTCAGTTGACATGGGGTCTAAAAGCAGAGGATGTTTTGGGGCCACACCTGGTGGTGCTCAGTGACTGTTCCTGTCTCTGTGCTCAGGAACTTCTTCCAGTAGTGGCTGATTAGTACCTATTTCCATCCACCAATAAGGTTTTTAAAAAGTTTTTCTTTAGTGAAGATTTATAAGAAACAATAAGACGAGAGATAGTTTCTGGATTCTTTGTTTTATCTTATTTGAAATATGAATCTGCATTTTAGGAAAATACTGATATGGTAAAGTTGCTTCTTAAAAAAGGAGCCAACATGGAATGTCAGGTCACTTCTACCGGTGCTCAGGGTGCCCGAGGGTGCTGGGATCAAACCTGGGCTTTCTGCATGCAGAGCTTTTCCTCAGTTTGTTGAACTATTTCTCCAGCACATGCCTTTTAAGAGTTGTTGTTTAAAAAAAAAAGTTTTCATTAAAGATTCAAGGCCCATGATTTACAAAGTTATTCATAGTTGGGTTTTAGACACATTTTGTTCCAGCACCCATCCCACTCCCAGTGTCTTCTTCCCTCCACCAGGGTTCCCAAGGCCCCACCCCCACCCATCCCTACCCCTACCCCCACCTCAGCCAGCTACCCAGACAGGCACGTTTTTATCTTTGGTTGTTGAAGTCTGGGTCTCTTGTTTTCAAGTCTCTGACTCTGAGGCCTGGATATTTAGCGGCACGGCTCCTTTACACCACCTGTGCTCAGACTCCTGCCCCCCCTGCTTCTTGTTGCTTTTTCTCTGTCTTTTCTTCCTCCCTGAATTTCTTTCCTTCTCACCCCTTCTCTATATACTCTGGCATCAATGATCTAGGCATTCCCCTTCAAACATTGTATTCCCTCCCCAGTTAGTCTATACACATATAAGTGAGATCATCCTGTGTTTGTACTTCTTGTTCTGCTAGCTTAACTTCATTTAACATGGTAACATTCTTACTTATTACTTCCTACTGTGGAAAACATTTGTATGCTTGAAGTGAAATAGAAATTTGTGTTTCAAATCTTCTTGCCCCATAGCCAAGCACATGAAGTTCATACACATGTCTGCACTCCTTCCTTAAAGATACAATATTTTCTCAAATGTACAGTTCTAATAGTGATTATAATAATTTCACAACACAACAGTCACAGTCTACCTTATTTCTTAATTGCATATGTTTGTGTGCATACTTACTAAGCTCTACTTAGTTCTGTTTTATCTTTTTCATTCTGTGCCTAAACTACAAAATTACTGACACTGTCATAGCAAAGTTTTGTGGTAGGAAATACTCTGGAAAATTTAACTCCATTTGCTTGTATGAGTTTAAACATTCTAACCTTACTAGGTAGGATTTGCAAATTGTTATATATACATCAGGTTAGAATTCACATATCTTGTGGTAAAGTTAAGTTAGAATATATGAGGAAAAAGAATTTGATTGGTACAAATAGTACAAATAGTAAAAGGGCATATGATTTTTAAAGTATGGGTATGTAAAATTCCTTTAGAGGATCTGCTCTAGCAGCAGTGTACGAGAGAGTCATTACTTTCAGTTATGGAAGCTAAATCGCATTGATTCAACATTTGTTGCTTATGTGGTTTAAATGAGCAAAATTTTACGATAATTTAATTGATAGAAGAAAATTTTAGCAGCTGCTGTTTATGATGGTAAAAATGAACTAAGACACAGAACTTGCAGTATTTCCCTTCTATTTTGTTAGTGACCATGTCATTTATGATCAAATAGTAATGATAATAAATCTTTGGGCCTTTGAACAGAATAGAAACATACTCTCTCTTATCAGAGAGAATAAATGTTTGCCTCTTCTGTTTCCTTTGTACTTTTTAAAATTGGGTTGAAAATAATTTGTAAGTGCCCAGAAGAGATGGAGATGTTAATTGGTTTGCGCTTAGACCATTGTGATCAGTGTCTTTGGTGTTGCCACAGGATTTTGTTTTGTTAGTAGGAATGCTCACAGCATTGCAAGTTCTGAGGTGAGTAAGTGGTGAGAATATCTCCAAAGTGCTCATGCCTACAAACATGCATTTTTACTGACAGCAATTTTTTTGACTGCTGTATTGCAGCTGTTGAAAGCGGACAGATAGATGTGTTAAAGCTGTTGCTTAGAGGTGGAGCAAAAGTTAATGGATCCCATTCAATGTGTGGATGGAATGCTTTGCACCAGGCTACTTTTCAGGTAACCTCTAAATTTATTATTTTATTTCCATGTAAATTGTGTGTTTTACCCTTTTAAAATGACAGTTCTATTCAGTTTTTGCTTCCTACTTGCCTGTGATTTATGATGGTTAGTGTAGTAAAGAACAGGCAGTCTAAATGCTAATGATGATTCAGAGTAAGCCAACTGCTCTAGTAGTTCTAGCTGTTTTCTGCTACAGGGATAATCTGAGTTATTCAAATGTTGATAACATAGTTAAGAGACCATCAGAATATTTGGGATATAAATTGGTAAAGAATGGTGACTCCTATTTAAATTAGTATGTTTAGAAACTGTCATAACTCTTTGGAACTGAGGCTAGTAAGCTAATTATTTTTTTTCTCTTGTTTTGGGAGGTAGGGGTGTGTGGAGGGGGCGGGAGGGCACACCCAGTGGTTCTCAGGACTTACTTTTGACTCTGTGCCAGGAATCACTTTTGGCAGGCTCAGGGGACCATATGGGGTGCTGGGGATCAAACCTAGGTTGCCTACATGCAAGTCCTACCTGTTGTAATAGATCACTGAGGCCCCCGTAGTAGCTGATTTTATAGGATTTTTATAAAGTTTGTAATTTCCTGAAATCAGGGTTCCATCTGTTTGTTAGATAGTCTAGGCAAAATTGTAGATGATCTGATTAGTACCTATTTCCATCCACCAATAAGGTTTTTAAAAAGTTTTTCTTTAGTGAAGATTTATAAGAAACAATAAGAAGAGAGATAGTTTCTGGATTCTTTGTTTTATCTTATTTAAAATATGAATCTGCATTTTAGGAAAATACTGATATGGTAAAGCTGCTTCTTAAAAAGGGAGCCAACATGGAATGTCAGGATGACTTTGGAATCACGCCTTTGTTTGTGGCCGCCCAGTATGGGAAACTGGAGAGCTTGTGCTTACTTATTTCCTCAGGTAAGAGAATCTGTTTGCACTATTAAGCTGAGTTTTAACTTTGTATCTTGGTAGAATAATTCTTCACCAGAAACAAATAGGATAGGAGCTGATAGGAGTACATATGAGTTGATTTACAAGCCTAATTATTAGGTGTCTATTACTCATGTAATGTAAGGCACGGCTCCTAATTTATCCAAAGAGTAGCATGATGATGTATAACTAAAGCAGGCTTATTGACAAATTGAATGGTAGGGCTGTCCTTTCTTATTGGAAACCAAACACTTCTAACTTTCTTGGACACAAGACTAGGTTAGCCTTAATTTATTTGATAGCTACTTTGATTTTTAAGCCTTTGAACTGTGTATTTTGCAATTATGTGATTATCCAAATGAGTTTATTTCAAAGCAGGGTTACATTTTGTCAACACATATAATGCCAAAGGGTCCATCATAATAAACAATACATTTTCAGCATTGCCAAAGAAGATGGTGTTGGGTTGCATTTGTATTGGATTTTTTGAGACAAGAAAAGTTCTGTAAGAACTTTCAAATTTCTAAAAAAAAAAAAAAAAAAGAACTTTCAAATTTCTTTCAGCACTTTATATGCTTACACTTGATCACCTGATCACTTGACATCCCGTTACTCATCGATTTGTTCGAGCGGGCACCAGTAACGTCTTCATTCATCCCTGTCATGTGCTGATGTAGCCCAATGCCATCTGTTCGCTCCAGGAACACGAAGAGCCTCAAACTGATCGCTGAGAGTCTTGACGAAGAAGTCTGACCATCTTGTAGGTAGATTGCCACACGATCTTTTGATATCCTGTGGAGTCCAGTCGGTAACGGCTCTAGGCCAGCATTCGTCTCCAAATCGCATTACGTGTCGAGCCCATCTGATTTTTGACGCTTTGGCAAACGAGACAGTGTCCCTATTCTCTATCGTCAACAGAGGTCAGAGCTCTGGATTCGTTCTCTCACTTGTGTGAAGCGTGATACTCCAAGCATAGCTCTTTCAATTCCTCTTTGGGAGACATGAATAGTGTTCTCATCCTGTTTTCGTAGGGCCCAGGTCTCTGAGGCATATGTTAATGCAGGAAGAACAGTAGAATTGAAGAGATGTGCCCGGAGCCGGATGTTCTTCGTCCTCTTAGCTATATCTTCGACGCTCTTGAAGGCCAAGCCGCTTCCAAGCCACTCTCTCTCTTCCTCCTGTGCAACTCAGGTGCCAGGCCATTCGTCATGTTGAATTCGTAACATATGTACACATAACTATTCAGGATTACTCGAGTGAACTTGTAGATGACAGACAACAGGCAGATCGGGCGATAGTTGCCAATGTCATGGATGTCTCCCTTCTTGAACAGTAGTACATCCTGCTGGTTTTCCATTGGGATGGAACCTTGCATTCAGACAGGTAGTGTGTGAAGAGCCGAGCCAGCGTGTTGATGAGTACTGACAGCAGGTTCTTCAGATGTTCAGGTCTGACCTTGTCTGGGCCGGGTGCTGTTTGTTTCTTTACTGACGAAATGGCGTGTCGGATTTCGGAATGGAGAACATTGGGAACGACATATCCATCCTGTGGAATTTGGTACGTCGGCAGATGGACATGGCTCACTGCCGGCAGTTTCTATCTTCGTTGTCTACGCACCAACATCCAATTATGATGAAGGAGAAATTGAGAAGTTCTACATGGAGCTGGAGAAGTTATATAAAGAAGACCACACCTTCTATAAGATCATTGTTGGTGATTTTAATGCCAAGATAGGACCGAGAAGATCAGCCGAAGAACTCCACATCAGGACCCATGGCCTAGAATGGAACAGACAGGGTGAGAGACTGTCTGAGTTCATCATGTTGACCAAGACCATCCATGGTAACTCAGTTTCAGAAGACCAGATCTAAATGTTGGACATTGGAGTCTCCCGGTAGACAGTTCCACAATGAAATTGACCACATCATATTCAGTCGACTGTTTTGCCTGACCGTTTCACTGTTCTCCCAAAATTTCAAATGAGATCAGACCACCGTCTCCTTTGTGCAAGATTCTACTTTATGGAGTGGGGAGAAAGGGCTGCAAAGTTTAAGAAGAGAGCTCCCAGAACAACCGCCAACTGGGAGCTCTTTGGCACTATTTTAGAAACATGGGAAGATGCCATCGTTAACAACATTGACAAAGAATATGATTGACTGGTTCAGCACCTCCATGACTGTGCTAGGAATGCCTAGAGAGAGAAAGTCACAGACACCTGTCTTCGAAAACTCTCAAACTTATTCATCAACGTGTTATGGAATAAGCCTCAGGCAATCACAAGCTAATGTATGCGCTCGCAAAACACTTCAGAGAAGTGATAAAGGAAGACCTCAAAGAGAGAAGAGCAACAGTGCTGGCAGATACGGCAGAAGCCGGGAAAAGCATTTGCAATGCTCGCCCATTCTTCACCAACTACAAGACCAGGATGACTGCCCTCCAACGTCCTGATGGATCTATCACATTTTCCAGAAGGGCAATGGAGAAGATTATCCATGACTTCTACTTGGATCTCTTCGATAGCCATGTCCACCTGCCAACATGCCAAATTCCGCAGGATGCATGTCATTCCCAATGTTCTCCCTTCAGAAATCCGACACGGCATTTCATCAGTAAAGAAGTGAACAGCACCTGGCCCAGAGAAGGTCAGACCTGAACACCTGAAGAATCTGCTCTCAGTACTCATCAATACACGGGCTTGGCTCTTCACACGCTACCTGTCTGAATGCAAGGTTCCATCCCAGTGGAAAACTAGCAGGACTACTCTACTGTACAAGAAGGGAGACATCCACGACACTGGCAACTATCGCCTGATCTGCCTATTGTCTGTCGTCTACAAGCTGTTCACTCGAGTCATCCTGAATAGGATTGGCAGAACACTAGATGAAGGACAACCATGTGAGCGCGCCAGGTTCCTAAAAGGATTCAGCACAATCGACCATATCCACACTGTAACCAAATTCATTGAGGTTTCTCGAGAGTTCAAGATGCCACTCTGTCTAACGTTCATTGATTTAAAGAAGGTCTTTGGTTCTGTTGAGATTGAAGTGGTTATCAAAGCCCTAGCCAAAAAGGGCCTCAAACTCAATACATCAGGATTCTCTGGAGCTGTATTATGGATTCACTACCAGAATCTCACCATTCTACAAATATGTGATCATCCATGTCAAGAGAGGGGTTCGGCAGGGTGATACCATTTCACCAAAACTCTTCAGTGCCACCCTCAAGAACATCATGCGACAAATGGAATGGGAAGGAGTGGGAGTGAGGATAGACGGTCGGCTACTACACCACCTCTGCTTTGCTGATTGACATCGTTCTAATAACACCAAACATTAGCCAAGTGACACAAATGCTGGCCAACTTTAACTGTGAGTGGAAAGGTTGGACTACAGCTGAATCTCACGAAGATAATGTTTATGAGAAACGGACTTGCTCCTGACATTCCATTCACTCTGAATGGAATGAACATCTCTGATTGCAACAGTTACGTGTACCTAGGTTGAGAAGTGAACATGACAAATGACCTGGCACCTGAGTTGCGCAGGAGGAAGAGAGCGGCTTGGAACTCCTTTAAAAGCGTTGAAATAGCTATGAGGATGAAGAACCTCTGGCTCTGGGTACATCTCTTCAATTCTACTGTTCTTCCTGCATTAACATACGTCTCAGAGACCTGGGTCCTATGAAAGCAGGATGGGAACGCTATTCGGGTCTCCCAAAGAGGAATCAAAAGAGCTATGCTTCGAGTATCATGCTTCACTTACATGAGAGAAAGAATCCAGAGTTCTGACCTTCGTCAATGATTGAAAATCAGGGACGCTGTATCCTTTGCCAAGGCATCGAAAATCAGATGGGCTGGACACATAATGCTATTTGGAGATGACTGCTGGACTTGAGCCGTTACTGACTGGATTCCACAGGACATCAAAAGATCGCATGGCCACCCACCTACGAGATTGTCAGACTTCTTTGTCAAGACCCTGACAAAGGCTCTTGGTATAGATGGAGCGAGCAGATGCCATTGAGCTACACTAGCACACGACAGGACGAATGGAGACGTTACTGGTGCCTGCTCGAGCAAATTGATGAATAATGGGATGTCATGTGATCAAGTGATATTACTATATTATTAGTATAGTATTGATAATATTACTGTATTATTTATTATTATCATTATTATTACTACTACTACTATAAGCTACCAAGAGTATTCCGCCTGCGTGGCAGAGCCTGGCAAGCTCCCTGTTGTGTATTCAATATGCCAAAACCCAGTAGTAATTCTCACAATGGAGACTTTACTGGCGCCCGCTTGAGCAAATCGATGAACAATGGAAGGACAGTGCTATTATTATTAGTATTATTAACAATCCCAGGCTAATATCTTCTGCTTCCACAAGTTCCAGATATTAGTGTGTGATAATACTCTGAATAAACAGGTTGAATTGCCCCTAATGGCTCTCTTCTTGACTGCTTTCCTGGAGTACTAAATACCTGTTTTGTTTTGCTTGTGCAAAAGGTTTTTTTTTTCTTCTCTCCTCCCTGAGTAGCTTTGCCAGGCTTTACTCTCGGTAGCTTGCCGGGCTCTCCGAGAGGGGCGGAGGAATTGAACTCTGGTCGACCATGTTGGCTGCGTGCAAGGCAAACACCCTACCACTGTGCTATCACTCCAGCCCTGAGTAGTTAGATTAAATGAAAAGATAATGTAATACGGTCATAATGTAACTTTGTATGTTTCTGGCTCCTTAAAATGACTTTCCTTTCAGTGAATCATCTGTCATTTTCCCATCTTTCCAACCTGTAATCCTACAGACCTGCTTCCTTATTCTTTCTGATATTTTGAAATTGTCAGTCAAAAATGAGCATGCTTAAAGAAAGATAAGTGGTTTTCTTTCTTGATTTAGTCTTTCTGAAAGTGGTAGTAGGTGAGGCATCCACCTTGCGTGTGTCAAGCAGATGCGTATGTAGACATGTTGAAATCTAGTTAGAATTTCTGAAGGTTCTACAGCCCTACCCCTTTTGTTTTGGTTTTATTTTTGGCCACACCTTGCAGTGCTCAGGGCTTACTCCCAGCTCTGCACTCAGGAATCATTCCCGGTAGTGCTCGGGGAACCATATGGGGTGCTGAGGTATGAGCCTGGATTAGCCTTATGTAATGCAAGCACCTTACATGTTGGATTATCTCTCCAGCTTCGGGTTTCATAAAATCTTTAACTTATAATTTGTGTTTTGCTTAGTTTTTACCCTTTTCTGGAGTCTGGCTTATTCAAAGTGTATTTATAGAATTTTATTGTCAGTAAATGTTCTTTCTCCTTGGGGGCTGGAGAGTTTGTACAGTGGGTAGGGCTTTTGCCTTGCTTGAACCTAACCTGAGTTTGATCTCCCCTTCCCTTCTCCCTCCTTCCTTCCTCCTTCCCTCCCTTACCCCTCCCCCTCCCTCTTTCTCTCCCTCTCTCCCTCCCTCCCCCCCCTCTTCCCTCCCCCTCTTCCCTCCCTCCCTTTCAGTCTTAGTGGTGGTGCTCAGGTATGCTGTGTTGTCAGGGCTTGAGCCTGGGCTTTCTGGAAAGCACACATCACAAGCTAGTCCTTGAGTTATCTCTCCTGTCCCTGCACTTGTCATATTTAATTGATTACCCATGCCCACATAGTCCTTGTTGGAGGAGGGACTGGAATAAAATTATTCCAATGAGTAAGATTTTTGTTTTAGTTAAAAATGAATTCTGAAATTAATAATCACTTGTTTCTTGCTGACTTGAAAGCAAAGACAAATGGAATCAAGTGAGGAGGATTAATGTTTATATAAAAAAGTCCACTCAGGAGAGAAAATATTGTATTATGAAACCCTTTTTATCATAACTGCTTTGATATTTATGATAGTTATATCTTTGTGCTTAAAAGAGGATTATCTGTTAAATATTTCATTCTGTGTTAGGTGCGAATGTCAACTGCCAGGCCTTGGACAAAGCGACTCCCTTGTTCATTGCTGCTCAGGAGGGTCACACGAGCTGTGTAGCGCGTTTGCTGTCCAGTGGGGCTGACCCAGATCTTTACTGTAATGAGGACAACTGGCAGTTACCTATTCACGCGGCTGCGCAGATGGGCCATGCACAGTAAGTGTTAAACAGGAGTTAAAGACGGTCTCGTGATTAAAAGGAAATCAGTAAACCTCTGGGACAGGCCTTGACGTCTCAGGGCTAAACCCTAACTAGTTCTTTCTTCACTAGTTTGCTGGGTGAGTTTGCTCAGTACCTAGATCCACCTCCCCACTAATTGTTCCACAGAGACAAAAGAAGGCCGGGCTTTTTTTCAGGAGGTAAGTCTTTCTTTGACTTTTCAATCAAAAAATGGCCATGCTTCTCCACTTTTCCTCCAGCTTATCCTGGGTATCTGTAGTCTAGATCTGATCGGTTCATTCATTGTATTCAAATTTGCTACCCTGGGAGTCTTCTGACTCTGTGACCTTGCTAGAGGTCTGTCTTTGGTATGGGTTCGGGAAACTCTGTGTCTAACCCTTTGGTTGGACTTCTCTTTATCTCCAGTCCAACCCAGTACTTGTCAATGCTTCTATTATGATTCTTTTGTGACCAGAAATCTATAAATTTTGCTATTTGAGAGAGTGAGAGAGAGAAAGAGACAGAGATGAAGACAGGGAGAGGGGGCAGTGAGGAGAAAGTTTAGTAAGGGAGGAAGGGAATTCTTGAATCTGATAAGCCTGTTCTTAATTTTAACATATTTTGACAAATTGCTCCTCAACAGCTTCTTAAAATACATGTTTTATGTATTAGAAGTCTTAGTTATACTATAATAATTTTGCATGCTCATACATATTAATAATTAATTTAAAAAATGAAATGTTTTCATTTATCAGTGAAGTCATCAAGTTTAGTAGGAAAACATTCTGCAGTGTAGGTATTATGTCACTAGGTGGCCTGCTATTTTACTACTATTTCCTTAAAGATATTTATTGTGTGGTGTGTTTGGTGCTGAAATATTACATGCCTAAAATGAAGCTATCAATAATTTTTAAAATCCTGGTTTTTTAATACAATAAAAAATTTTAAAACATATATTTGGGGATTGGAGAGAGACAACAGGAGTTAAGATGCTTGTCTTGCCTTGGTTTTATCCCAGACAGTGCTTGTGGTTCTTTTAAATAGCCAGAAATGATTCCCTAACACAGAACAGGACTAAGCCCTGAGCACAGATGCATGTGGCCCCCAAATGGAAAAACAACAGCCAAAGGAAGATATTTATAAGCATGTGTGTGCCTTGTGGAAGAGTATAAATTTTCAACAAATAAAAAAAATTTGAATCATTAAATTTAAGAGAAATTAAGCAGATTATTTGAGTACTTGAACAGAATTCCTGGGCTTTAAATTTTAATGTTTCTTTCTTTCTTTGGAATAAAATTTATTTGGAATAAATTTTACTTATAATTATATTCTGAATTTTAAATTGCTAATAAAAACCCTCTTGTCCTTAGTGGTACTGAGTTTTGTTTTGGGCTTTGTTTTGTTTTTGGACCACAGCTGCCTGTGCTTAAGGCTTACACCTGGCTGTGCTTGGGGGACCCAAGGGTGCTAGGGATTAAACTCCAGCTGGCTGCATGCAACACAAGGGCTTTACCTGCTGCACTGTCACTCCAGCGTGTTATACTCAGTCTTGAGATTTCCACCGATGTTTCCTTTATACACCACAAGCTAAGTAAATCCCTCTGAATATAAATTCTCCTTAAATATTAGACTTCTATACATAAGGAAGAGTAGCAAAGAGAAAGGATGTTAAAGGGAGAGTTGGCATATCCTGCTGCTTTTCCAAGAAATAGGAAGGATTTCCTGGTTTACTTTATCCCTGTAGTTTTATTTTTAATTTTAGAAGTGCAGATTAGGTTGGCCTTTGTATTCAGCTGATGACTAAAGGTCAGTTTGAAAATTATCTAAGAACTTAATTGAGATGATTTTCTTTACAGTTTTTCCTACTTAGCTACCAATTTCCTTATAAATCATCCTGAGAGTCTAAAATATTGCCCTTTCTGAGAATAGAATATTTTAGCAGAAATTCACATCTTTTCCTGAAGAGATGAAGAGATGTCTTGTTGCTCATTATCTTAAAATAATGTACTAGTTAAAAATAATAATTAAGTTGCTTTTATTTAGAAGAGAATAAAAGAAGGAAAATTGTTGGGGAACAGTTTTTCCCCAAAGTGCCCAGACATGTTGTGCACTGGGTCCGGGGCAGACGTGGGGCGAAGGATGCCAGGCACATGGAGAAACCACTCCAGGAGACAGCTGATGGCTGCTCACTCTATTGCCAAATACACACATATTTTATAGCAGGCCTCGGCTTCCGAGGATGGTCCAATCACATGAAGTTTAGCATTACTGACCTTTCCAACTCTGCTTTGCCCTGGTCCAGTTCCAATTAGTGCTAGATGCTGCAGTTAGAAATGACTCGCTAAGCGTAGGTGACAATTCTTGGGGTTTGGGTGAGACTCAAGACCAGATCCCTGGTGCTTATCAAATGAGCCCAGACACTTCTGCTGGGTCGCTATGCAGGTACAGATCTTATCTGTTATGCAGGGACAGATCTTATTTGCTCTGACTCTTGTTGCCATGCTCCTCAGAAAATAGTAAAATAGTAATTATTTTGTTATAAGATTATATATGTCTGATATATAAGATATGTATATGTATATATGTATATTTGTTTTGTTTTGGGGCCCCACCTGACAGTGCTCAGGGCAGTGCTTGGGGATGCTGGGGATCAACCTCAGTTCAGCTGTTGCAAGGCAAACTTACCAGCTATTCTATCTATTGCTCCAGCCCCATAAGTTCATATTTATTATAATGAATTTAAATAATTTTGAGATCCTGAAGTGTCTGACATAATGTTTAAATTTGAGGGAGTAGGCTAGTAGGGTAAATAATAAAAAATAAGTGTTGCCTGTTTATTTGAAGGAACATTAATCCTGTTTCAAATATAATTAAAGATTTTCATATTAGCGGTAATACAACATTCTAAAGAAGATCGGTAGCTAGAAATAATTTAATGGCAGTAGAGGTACACTGAATGCAGAGGTTATTTTTTTTCTTTTTTTTTATTTGTTTCTTTTTTTTTTTTACAGTTGTAGATTTACAATTTTTTGTGCTTGGGTTTCGATTATACAATGATCAGATACCCATCCCTCCACCAGTGCCCATTTTCCACCACCATGGATAATATCCCCCCACCCCCATCCCCCCATCCCCCCCTGTCTCTGTGGCAAGACAATCCCCTGTGTTCTCTCTCTCCTTTTGGGTGTTGTGGTCAATGCAGAGGTTATTTCTAAAAATCTTATCAGTGGTTCATGCTGTAGAAAGAATGCTGACTTTTCACATGTACTTTAATTCTTCCTGAATTTTTCTACTTGCAGAATCTTGGACTTGCTAATACCACTTACTAACCGGATCTGCGACACTGGCCCAGACAAAGTGAGTCCTGTTTACTCAGCAGTGTTTGGAGGGCACGAAGAATGTTTAAAGAAATTGCTCCAGTGCGGCTACAGTCCTAGTGCCCAGATGTGTCTCATCTTTGGATATACTTCTCCCTTATGTATGGCTTTCCAAAAGGAGTAGGTATATTTATTATGTTTATGTTATTTTTCCTGTATGGAGACGTATTTACAAGTGAAAATTGTTTTGTTTGTCTAAGTAAAGTATATCTATATAACAAGTTATTTTTTTTGTGATAACCATAGAGCTTATTGCTACCTTAAGACATGAAACAGGCAAGTAGAAAAAATAGTCCTCTGAGATATACCCTGTTTAGTCAAAGTTCAGTAAAGATGAGGTGATAATGCTAGATTTATTTTCTTCTCTCTTTAAATTTGGATTATATTTCTAGAGTAGAAACTTTGAGGGAATGTTTTCAGTACATTAAAGTAAGTACAGTAATTCTCTTAGATCTTCACTTAATCACTTATCACTTAACTTCCTGTTAGTCGTCGATTTGCTCGAGCGGGCACCAGTAACGTCTCCATTTGTCCCTGTCGCGTGCTAGTGTAGCCCAATGGCATCTGTTCGCTCTGGGAACATGAAGAGCCTCAAACCGATCGTTCATGGTCTTGATGAAGAAGTCTGACCATCTGGTAGGTGGGCGACCACGTGGTCTTTTGACATCCCGTGGAATCCAGTCGGTAACAGCTCTAGTCCAGCGGTCGTCTTTAAATCTCATTACGTGACCAGCCCATCTGATTTTTGACACCTTGGCAAACGAGACAGTGTCCCTGATTCTTGATTGTCGACGGATGTCTGAACTCCGGATTCTTTCTCTCATTTGAGTGAAACGTGATATTCCAAGCATAGCTCTTTCAATTCCTATATGGGGAAATGTACATACAGTGTGTAAATATATAAAATCATTATGTTGTATACTTTAAATATCTCAAAAATCTCAGAATCAGTTATTCCTCAATAAAATGGGGTAAAACTTCAGTCTTCTAGATTGTATTGTGTTTTTAATGTCATTTGGGTGATCATAGTATTTTAATCTAGAAGTCTTAAAAATATTTTTTTTTTTGGCTAATCTGTTACAATTCTGTGATAGAGAATAAGTGAAGACTTATAGATGCTATTCTAGTTTCTGACCACCTATAACCTGTAAGACTTCTAAGATTTAAAATAAACAGGTAGACAAGTAGAACAAGGATATCTATAAGAAAAGTCCTATTAAGTAATGTCTATGGTTCATCCCATAATGTTCAATATTAGCATTATTAACGCAAAGATTTTTTTGTTGTTATTGTTGTTTGTTGTTGTTGCTATTGTTGTTGTTTGCATTTAGATCATACCTGGTGATGCTCAGGGGTTATTCCTGGCCCTGCACTCCGGTAGTATTCCTGGAAGCCCTTGGGGGAACCACATGGAATGCCAGGGATCGAAGTCGGGTTGGCCTCATGCAAGCAAACACCCTACCCATTGTGTACTATTGCTTCGGTCCTGATAGACGTTTGTTTTTAATGATGCAAAAGACATTACTGGTGTAGCTGAAATTTCATTACTTTTCCTGAATTCACCATTATGTGTCACTATACATGATTTACTTTAAATATGTTCCATTAAAGACTTACTTGCTAAACTTTTATGTTTTTACCATGTTTTAATTTTTTCTGTATAAAACAAAAAGTTTCCAGGTACACATTGTTGTCTGAATATTTGGGATTTAGATTAATTTGTGTATCAGGACTCACTCTATAATTTGTATGATTTCGTTGAAGCTTGTTGTATTCCCCAATTCATTTTATCTTTCTAAAGAAAGAAGCCCTAATTATTTTTATTTCCCTTCACTAAGGCTGTGTTGATATCATTGACAACTTTAGTTGTTTCACTTGTCTTTATCATCATCTGTGTTCATTTTGTTTTATTATCAGATCAGAATAGAACATTTTAAAAATTAGATCAAAGCATAATGATTTGGGAGTGTGTGTGTCCAGTCTAATGGAAATCTTACTTGACATTCATCTTTTTTTGGGGGGGCTTTTTGGGTCACATCTGGTGATGCGGGCTGGAGCAATAGCACAGCGGTAGGGCGTTTGCCTTGTGTGCAGCCAGCCCGGTGGAGCCGGGTTTGATTCCTCCGCCCCTCTCGGAGAGCCCAGTAAGCTACCAAGAGTATCTCGCTGCACAGCAAAGCCTAGCAAACTACCTGCGATGTATTCAATATGCCAAAAATAGTAACAACAAGTTTCAAAATGGAGATGTTACTGGGCCCGCTCAAGCAAATCGATGAACAACGGGAGGACAGTGACAGTGACCCGGTGATGCACAGGGTTACTCCTGGCTCTGCAGTTAGGAATTACTCCTGGAGGTGCTCAGGAAACCTCAAGGGATGCTGGAAATGGAACCTGGGTTCACTGCGTGCAAGGCAAACAACCTACTTTCTGTGCTATCGCTCCAGCCCCCACATTCATATTTTTTCATGATTTATTTTTTATTGAAATAACATCAGTTTGCATGATTATGTATTTTATTTTTGTTTTCTGAGCCATACCCAGTGGTGCTCAGGGCTTATTCCAGACTTTGTGCTCAGGAATCACTCCTAGCTGTGCTTGGGAACTTGTTGCCTAGCCTGCTGTTCTGTCTTTCCTGCCCCTTATCGTATGTTTTAGGGGTAGCACTGTAGCACTGTAGCACTGTCCTCCTGTTGTTCATTGATTTGCTGAGCAGGCACCAGTAACTTCTCCATTGTGAGACTTGTTACTGTTTTTGGCATATCAAATATGCCATGGGGAGCTTGCCAGACTCTGCTGTGCAGGCAGGATACTCGGTTGCTTGCTGGGCTCTCCGAGAGGGATGGAGGAATCTAACCCGTGTCGGCTGCATGCAAGGCAAACACCCTACATGCTGTGCTGTCGCTTAGTTTCATATCTATTCACATAAATGCCACCAAACCACAACCTCCATGAAGTACTAGTACCCTACTAGGATTCTCACCTCTGTCCCCTCCTCCACCATCCCTGCTGATCACAGCTCTTCAGTTTAAGTCCACGGGTTTGTTTCCATTAGTTTAGTCTGTTTCTATGATTTGCTTTTCAATGTCCTTCATATGACTCGTCTCATCTGACACTTGTATTTCTACATCTAACTTATTTCACTTGATCCCCTTTCATCTTGTTCCATATTGTTCCATATTGTTGCAGAAACAAAATTTTATTTTTCTTATGGCTGAGTAGTATTCCATTATGTATACACCACATTTTCATCATCGTCTATTTATCTGCTGTTGGACACTTAGGTTTTTTTGTTTTTGTTTTTTTAATTTTATTTTGTTTTTTGTATATAGTGCTATGGTAAACATAGGTGTGCCTATTTCTTTTTTTTTTTTCTTGTTGGGTCACACCTGGCGATGCACAGGGAATTACTCCTGGCTCATGCACTCAGGAATTACTCCTGACGGTATTTGGGAGACCATATGGGATGCTGGGAATCAAACCCTGGTTGGCTGTGTACAAGGCAAATGCCCTACCTACCCACTGTACTGTCGCTTCAGCCCCGAGGTGTACCTATTTCTTTCTGAATTAATGTTTCTGTTTTCTTGGAGTGATTGCTAGATCAAATGCTAGTTCTATTTAAAAATCTTTAAAAGTTCTTCATACTGTTTTCCACAGAAATGGGACCAGTTTACATTCTCACCAATATTAATTGAGGTTCCTGTTTCTCCACAGCTTTGCCAACACCCTTTCCTCCATTTTTGAGAAGTTTGAGGTTTATCCGACCTTTTAGAGGCTTTCTATTTTTCTCACCATACCTGGCTCTGTGCTCAGGAGCAACTCTGTGTCAGAGCCACACCTGGCAGTGCTCGGGGGACCGTATGTGGTGCTAGGATTCAAACCATTGTAGACCATATGCCTTTGCTTCTGTACCCTTTTTCCATCCCCAGGAGGGCTATATTTTTCCTTCTGGTCCTGGCAGCTAAAAGATGATGACTATGTCTCATCATCTTGGGACTGGAGAGATCAATTCAGCAAATAGGGCATTGCCTTGCACACAACTGAGTTCAGTTCCCAAATCCTGGGTTCAATTCCTAACTCCTATATGGTCCCCCAGAAACTCCAGGATTGATCCTCTGAGTGCAGACCAGGAGTAAGCCTTGAGCATCACTGGGCATGCCCCCCACCCCCGACCAAAAAAATATATAAAATTTAATATGCCTCATTTTATAAGTATACTTTGAATTAAACAATATTGAACCATAGCAATTCTCCTGTCGAAGTTAAAATACATTAAAATGACTGTTTTCGTAGTCAGAGAAGTCTGGTTAATCGAACCCTGGGAGATAGCATGAGAACTGGGCTGGAGGCAAGCTGGAGAAGGGGAATCCCTTTATTCAGTATAAAACCTGCATATGTCCTGAATTTATCCCAAGTTTGGAATGTATGAGCCAGGTTAAAGTGGTTTAAAGCAAGATTTAAACTGCTACCCGCATCTTAGACTAACCTCTGAGATGCATTTTTTTTTTGGGGGGGGGGCTATACCCAAAGCAAACTTTGAGCATTGAACTGATGGTGGAACCACTGTCTACAACAGGCAAAACAAAAATTGCTATCTGAATTTATTTCATGCCTCTACAAATGGATAAAAACAAAATCAACATACTTGAAAGAATTTTAGCAGGGCATAGAACAGAGTCTAAAATACACATTAATATCACAGCATCTAAGTTTATTAAAAAATTAACTAGACCTAAAGAACTGGTGAAATATGACAGTTCTCAAGGGAATGCTCAATCAACACATACCAACTCAGAGATAATCCAGATGTTGTAAGTGCTGAATATTTGATGTAGATATTCTAATGGTCCTTCAAGAGTCTTTAAACATACTTGAGAAAAACAGATAGAAACTCTGAGTCCGAGAGATGTACAGATCAAGGCAACTATTCTATATGCAGCTGAGCCCAATAAGATCCTTGGCACTGCATATGGTCCCTGGAGCATTTCCTGGAGTGATCCTGGAGTACAGAGCCAGGAATAAGACCTGAGCATCTCTGGGTGTTGCCCTAGAGCATAGAACTAGGAATAAGACCCGAGAATCTTTGGGTGTTTTCCCAATGCTTGTTTACACTCCACCCTCCC